ATGGGTTGTGTTCGGATTCAACCCGTTTAACACGAATTGACCCGTTAACACGAAGTTTTTAATTCGAAGGAAATTGACCTGATCTTTTCGTTGCATGTATGAGTTTTCATGTTTTGATGACTTGTTTTTTTTATTACTTCTGATGTTTAATTTGGTTGTATGATGTACGATTAACATATTTAATTAGTATTATATAAATAAAATATTAATTATTTATAACTGTTTATCCAGCACTGACATAATTATTATATAAAAAAGATATTATTACTCATTATTGTTGTTATTATTATTATTAAGTTAATTTTTAGTTTGTAGAAAAAGTATGAGGAGAGATTCAATTAAGTGAAAATAAAATCTTAGCGTTAAATTTTTTATTCAAAATTTATGTAGGTCAACACAAATATGAACACGAACACGAACACGACACGAAAATAAACAGGTCAACTCGACACGACATGAATAGTTAAATGGGTTGGGTATGTGTTGACTAATATTCGACACGATTAATGTTCGACACGACACGAACCCGATACAGCATGACTCGATTGCCACCCCTAGTATAGACCTATTCGAGACATTTGTAACATGAGGAACTAGAATAGTTGGAACATACACATAATAGTTCTAGTTGGAGATCCAATTTTTAAATTTGACTCTCTTTACTGTATTGTTTCTTTAACCCATCATGCACTGAGGTCACTGATGGTCTGTTTGGTAGGATGAAAAAATAAAGAGATAGAAAAATAAAAAAAAATAATGATGATTCCCTCCCAATAACTATTGCGACATTTTTTAATTCCTCACGAAAACATAGTTTTTCTTGTAGTGAAGAGTTTCATCGTATTACTAAATTAACAAATTAGATAAATTTTTTAAAGGCCAATAACATTACTCCTACATGTATATCTAGCCAGGGACTCGGCAAAAACATACATATATATAAAGAGAGAGAGAGAGAGAAAAACAATGTCTTATTTATAAAAAATGTCATTGAAAATGAGAGGCATTAATAAATTCGGAGTTTTCCCGCCATATAATAGAACTCGCAATAAATATTGCATGTTTAGTAAAACTAAGAATTATTCAATTTCCATTTCTACAAACAATGACTACTTCATCATGACTAAATCGTTGAAGAGGGTTGGAATATGAGAGATTGTGAGAAGGAAAACACTATTTGAACTCTCTAAGTTGACTTGACACCATTTAATGATTGTATTAATCATAAATATTAAATAGATAATAAATTTTAATAAATAATAAAATTGGCAGTTAAATCTATGACCATGAAGTCAACAAATGGTGTCCAAGTAGCATAGCTCTTGTGACAATCATCCCCGGAGAGGTAATGCCATTTATCTTGTGTTGATTCATATATTCCCCAATTATTTTGACCAGGTATTTTGACTTGACTACCACGTGGACATTTGCTATTGGATAAAACAGCAACATATTTTTTTTTGTGGACACAATAAGACAAGGAAAAAAAGAAGAGCTGTCGGTAAAAAAGAAAAGCTTTAAAGGAGATAAAAAAAAAAAAAATATATATATATATATAGACATATAGACATGGGTTTATATTCAGTATTAAATATAAGGTGTAGGATGTGTGGGATGTGTGGGATTATGCAGAGATGTCATGGTGAAAAGGAAAAAGGCCTATGAAAGCTTGCCCATACTCTGATCTCACGTTCTCCCACAAGCTTTTCGTCCGATTTGAACTTTTGTGGGCCTTGTCAAATTATTACAGGTTTTATTTGATACAATTACAGCTTAATAATACTTAGTCTACCTTATTAATACTCTCTCTCTCTTACACACACCTATGGGTATACACTCATACATATTGTGTAAGAACAAACAAACGAACAAAAGCATCAGAGAGAGATCTGGTCCTTAAGATTTTCTTTTATTCTTTGAAAGTTGTTTAAAGTTCAGCAATCATCCCTCCTAAACAGTTCATAATTATTTCTTCAAATTTCTCGATGAAGCAACATATACATGTTCTCATGAACAATTGAAAGTGCCTTAATGAAGGCCTTAAATCCATAATTATGGACACATACAAGCGTGAGAGAGAGAGAGAGAGAGGGAGAGAGAGAGAGAGGATCAACCTTTAAACTAAAGAAAGGTGTGGCTATAGCTGTATGTCACAATTTTTTTGAAGACAAAATGCCAAGACCTGCTCATTCTCTCGAGCATCATAATGAAAGCTTTGAAAGGATAGGATAAGAAAAAGAGTAATACATGGGTACCAAATGTTGATCATTTCCTTTTGAGTTTCTACAATCATATACTAGTAAAACAGATTAACACAGACCAAAATAAATTAGTTCAATCGAACGAGGTTGTTATCTGTATTTCTACGAGGCATCATCAATTGTTAACATTGTATTGACTACTAATTTGACACATCATAGAGGTGTTATACTATAAGGGTCTCGTCACTATAGCATTGTAATATAAATGTTCCTTACTTGAAGTTTTTAGTTGTAATGAAGCATGTATCACTGAGACTGAAGACAAGTCAAAAAAATCAATTCAACAGACCAGTTTAGTTAGAGACTCACTCGAGTTTCAAGAGAAAGACCATCTCTATTTAAAGGAGATTGTCAAGTTGGCCACACGCAAGGTCTACTTCCATGGCAAAGCCCATGCACTGTATTTAACATGTATTCAACACAGCTTGTAAATCCGCGCATTTATCTCACTGGAGAGAGCGTACCTCGGGCGAATTGACATAGCGTCAAACCACCTTCAGGATAGTCCGGATAAACATGAGTGATGAGAAGTGAAATGAGATATATATAATCCCTGAAAAAATCAAAAAATATAAGTTGACATAGCTCTTGAACATTAGTCCATAGATGTATGTACCATACACCAAACCACTTATATCCTACATTCCATATTTTTTCGTTTTATTACCTTCAATCTCTCCCATTATAGATTTGTATAACTTTGCCCTCTAGAGATTGTGAAAACGATAATCTTCTCCCAAAAAGAAAATGATATATATTCATGAGAATTTGACATTGGTTATGCTGAAATGAGTTTAAACTATATATTTGTATCTTTTTGAAATCAAAAACCTTTCAAAAGTTACCACAAAAATTTAAAGACAATAGATAGAATTTGAAAAATATGTTATTTGTAACAAATAATTGTGTTAGTTGATTAATTGATCACATTTTACTCATGAAATGTGTTGGATTAGTATTAGTCTGGATACGACAACAAAAAGTTTCAAGAAAACTAGTATTTTTTGAATTATATGAAACTAGTACACAAACAACGAATCCTTAGGTATTTGAACCGGAGTATTCAAAAAAAAAACATAATATTTGATGGAAGAACTAGGGATTCTTTTGAACAATCTGCTCAATTGGATTTGAAAGTAGATTCCATTTAATTTTAGAACTCACAACTAATTCAATAATTACTTTAAATTAAGTTTCTAATTAGGTCTTTATACTATACAAGTAATACTATTGAGACCTAATTTGCTGACTGAATTCACTATAATATTGAAATTGATTGTGAATCCAAAAATTTTGTGTTAATTTAATGGTTACAATAAAATCACATCATTAAACTAATAAATTAAATTAAATTTTTAGATGTTAATAACATTACTCACCGAATTTATATGATAAACAATTGACCCATGTTTGAAAACTTTCTATGAAACATGAAGTCAGAAATCATGGACCGCCCCGCGGGGGAGAGGGGGGGGGGGGGGGGGTTGGCTTAATGGAGGGAAGCCAAACCACAAATCTTGGACAATGATGGTATGATAGGAAGCTCAAACTTAACAGCAACACAATATTGTAAACCAACAGCAGTACTTATTTACAAAGTGTCTGTGTTGATATTAGTGTAAATTCGTGAACAAATGAGCTAATTTGCTGCCTCAGCTAAACTGACTAATCGCAAGATTTGCAAGACTTTTCTTTTTCTCTTTGGTCCAAATCCAAAAAACTACAAGAAATCATTGAAAAAGGGTTTTCAAGTGCTTTACTAATATCCTTATTTTTCCCTTCTTTTGATTTGTAATAGAAAAGTTATTCTACTCGGGGTTGCCATATGTTTGGTTTCACTTTTGTTGGTTAGAAGACATTTTTCTATAGATATAGGTAAGATCTAAGAGTAAATTTTATAGGAATTTTAAAAAAATATCCAAAGACAACTTAATATTTCATAAATAACATAAGCATTGTGTCTTTTAAATATTGTTTATTTCATAATTAAGAAAAACTCTGACCAAAGGGCCTTCATGTTATTCCTCAAATATTATGGATTATGGTGTTATTTCACCAAAAGTGAAGGTAGGGAAACATAATTCATCCTAGAGTTTATCATTATGGACCGTAAGCTTCAAACAGGCTGCCTGGACGAAGATAGTAATTCCTTATAGTAACCCTGCCGGCTCCCCCGCTGTTTCTAGCTAATATGATGCCACCCGGACACCATATAAAGGCTTAGATAATATGGGTATGAGAGAGAGAGAGAGAGAGAGAGAGAGAGAGAGAGAGAGAGGAGTGGCTGCTATCATTTCTTTCTGAGACTTCCGTTGAAAGCCTTGGGATCGAAGGCTGAGATATTCATCATGGCGTAGGGGAGCTATAATCATCTCCCTGTAATTGCAGAGAGTGCAAAAAGCACAGCTCAAGAGAGAGAGAGAAGAGCGTATATTGAATCTTATATGGTGAAGGAGCAAAAAGTTTGACTGAAAAAGAAATTTAAATAAAGGCTGAGAGGTCTGAAGGAGAAGAATTATTCGTGCTCTCTTTCTTTCTTTTCAAGGCTGCTTTATGATGAGACTTTGAAAGAGTAAAGATGAAACTATGAAAAGTGTCTAAAAAAGCAAAGAAGGTATGTGGGTGTCACCTGAACTGTTGCTTTGAATACAGAGAGAGATTCCTGGAGCATGCTAGCTACTTAATTTTAGTTACTCTTCTTGGGATTTTCAAGTCCTTTAAAAAAAATATAATCTTTTTATGGAGCCTGCAAATCTCCACCACCAACATCAGCTCCAGGATCATCAGCTTGTTGGGTCTTCTCCATTAGCTACCCCATCTTGCTATGGAGGTGGAAGCACCCATGATTGGACCTCAAACAACATCTTGTAAGTTCACTCTCTCCCTCTCACACAAACAGATACCATGTGCTACAATTGCAAAAGGACATGCCTTTTTTGTGTTGAAGTTAACATCCATATTGACATCTTGCTACTTATTACAAAGACATGATGATTTATCTTAGCCTAAAGCATGGGATCTTTTTTTTCCCTCTTTTTATGATCTTTGATAATTTGACATACATCAATCAGAAAATGTATGGAACTCAAAAACATTCTTGTTGGGTTCTTGAGTTTTTCCCAAGATCAGTTTTTAAATCTTTTAAATTTTGGCTTGGATTGCTGTTATATAACAATAACGGATCATATTTATAACCCTATTCACAAACTGATCACAGAAAAATGCTATAGTTCTATTCTAGGGTTCTTATCTTCTTTCATGTAATTGACTTTATAGACTTAGTGTCATCTCTTCTACTTATTCATTTGAACCAGAAAGGTCTCATTTTAGGAACTAGGAAGCATATCTACATAATCATCTTCTTCAAATTAATTGTGCAGCAGTATCAATAACTTCAATCCAAATATTAATGGAGGTCTCATCAACTCAAGAGATCCAAGGCAGCTGGAAAATCACATTCTAAGCTCTTCTCAGAACAGTTGCATGAATCGAGACTTGGGCTTTCAGTGGGCTAGTTCAGCTACTACAGGGAGCTTCAACAGTCGCTCTATGCATGTTTTGGACTCAAACATTAATGAAGAGCTCTCAGATTCTTACCCAAAATTCAACGAAATGACAAACAGCCCTTCATCAAGCATAGAAGATTTACACTTACATCCCACAAGTTCCATAAAGAATGAGCGAAGAGATTTTAACGATCTGAGTGAGAAACTCATGCTTAGAACTCTCTCTTCTGGTTCTGCTTTCAAAATTGAAGGGCTTCAACTTCCAACTCCAGAATTCTACTCCAACCCACAATTCTCTCCTAGTTTACAAAGCGCATCCACAGCTTGCCGAGGGATTTTCAGCCAGATTCTTCCTACCATTAATATTTCAAACTTGAATCAATCATCTTCAGCAATTTCAAGCTCTTCAGACATGAACTTGCAAGTTCTGGATCTCTTAACGTCTTCAAGGTTCAGTGGAAGTTTTAGCCAGCCCTCACACGAACACCTCGGCCTGTTTAAAGACAGTCCATTCAATGGTCTTGATATTATGCACCAGTCAAGTCGCAGGCCATCCAACAGCTCTAGTCAAGTGGTTATACTCTTCTTCTTCCTCTTCTTATTTTCTTTTTTTTCTTCTAATTCCTTCCTGAAAACTTTTCTTGCAAAAAATCATGATAGGTTTATAGTTGAAATAATTCTAAGGAAAAAAGGGCAACCATCTAACTAGGTTTATCTCCTTCTGTGGGATATTAAGAGAAAAAGAAAGCTACAACACTTCTATTTTTTTCGTTTGAATAAAATGGAATCAAAAGGATAGCCTTCTCTTTATGCTATTAAAAGCATACTTGCAGCTTTATACATTAAATGCGTCTCTATTTTTTCAGGAATTGAGTCTTTTTTTAAAGGGTTTGACAAATTTTGTCAAAATCATTCGCTTAAACTTTACTACTTTTGTATCTTGAAGATATCATCCTTGACTAATGGAGTTACAGAAGCAAAAAGAAGCAGCAGTTTTTTGGAGCCAAAGGCTCCTCAAGCAGCACCAAAGAAATCGAGATTGGCAGCTTGCTGCCCACCCTTTAAGGTGATGAAGTAGAATCACCATACTCCAGAAAGATGAAACCATAGTATATAAATTATGGTATGGGTCATTTCTTCAATTGTAGATGTCATTGATAATTTATTGATGTGTAGATGTTTGTTGAAGCAGGTCAGAAAAGAGAAATTAGGAGATAGAATTTCAGCTCTTCAGCAGTTAGTGGCACCTTTTGGCAAGGTATACCTAGTGTTCTTGCATCTCAGCAACTTCATCAATTCATCATCAACATATAGTTGTAAACCTTCAAATTTACCTGAGATAGGCCTTTACACATACCTAACCCATGACCATACAAGTAGCATTCTCTTTCCCTTTCTTTCATAAATGTTGGTTTACACTTTCTCTCATGTGTGAGTCATGTTGTTCTTTTTGAGTTAATTATGAGTGGAGCGTTTGCTAGCTCCCCTTTTGCCCATATTTGGACTGTGTATTTGCTAAGAGCTATGCTATAGGTTGTTTTTGTTCGTCATTTGATATGTTGCCCTTGTTAATTTTTTTAACATTCAGAAAAATATTTTAGTTCTTGTTTTTTGAATTTGTGACTTCTGAAACATGTGATTAGTTTATTACACTACTTTAAGTTTAATTTGCACTTTCATATTTTTGCATCACCACTTACCTAAGGACATCTTTAACCTTTATTTAAATCATTACTCAAATTTAAATTTAACAAAAGACTAAAAATAAAAACCAATTTTTCACTCAAACTCGTACTATATAAAGAAAGTCTCAAATTTTAATTCAATGATCGAATTTTACCCTCTTTTTATTGAATATTTTATGCTCCTTTAAATATATATTTGTTTTCATTTAAATTTAAATTTATCTATTTTAAATTTGAGTGTCTTCGTTAGATTGTTTCATATTAAATTAAAATTTTTTATTCAAATATGGAATAAAATTTAAGTAAAAATTAGAGTGAAGGTCTAAGATAGCGGAAAAAAACTCAAAAGTCTGAAACTATGTGAGTTCCAAAGGTTTCAAACATTATGACAGCACGAATTTCGGGAATGTCCTCCAGTGGAACTTTATATAAGATGACCCCCAGAGAGCATCCTTCTTTCATTTATATTATGATATTGTTGGATTGTTTCATATTGTTCCGGTGACAGTATTGTTTCATGTGTAATATAATACATGTACATATGCATGTGGGTTGGAGAATATTGCAGACTGATACAGCGTCCGTTCTAATGGAGGCGATTGGATATATCAAATTCCTTCAAAACCAGGTCGAGGTACTTTCACTTCATGACATTCTTCTCGGTTTTCTATCTCCTTTTTGTATTATCTTGCAGCCTTATCCAATGGAAGGATTTAATAAGGAAGGAAATACAGACCCGCATGCTCTTTTGGCCATAAACCCTAGCCATAATGTTTGGTTTAACTAAAATTTATTTTTAAGATTAATGTTATTTCAACTTAGTTAGATGATTCAATTTGGTAATTTAGTCCATTGTTATCATTAATTTAATTGTGGATCTCACTATCAATCTAATGTTAGCAATAAATTAGGTAAATAAATTAAATTTAATAAATATTATAGTAATTAATATGATTTTTTTTGTTTAAATTCAGCATATTGCCTTCTTCCCTTTATTACATACTGGTGCGACCCATAAATTTTCACTTCAAGAATTATGGTATATTGGAACAATATTATTATGACCTAATAAAAAGATTTAACTTGAAGACATAATGAAAGGTCATTATCGAATTAACAATGGATCTTAATATTGCATCGATTTTATTATTAATCTAATGGTAGCATATATCACATCCCTAAATTAAATTTCTAAATTAGGTACAAGTAGCAGTATATATAAAATCTATTCTCTGTGACAAAAGCTAGATTCTTTTTGTTAAGATGGTCACAAAACTCAACTCAAATGTCTTTTCTGGTCAAATTATGAATAATTCAAAAAATATCATCACTGGTAATTCTGAACAAAATTTATTCTAAAAAGTTAATGTTGATAGAGTGTTTTCCTGTTGCTTCGACTTTCCTTGAATAATTAGATTTTACTTTTGCTTTGTTGCAGACGCTAAGTGTCCCATACATGAATTCATCAGGCAAGAACACCAGTTGTAGGTCATTGCAAGGGGTAAGAAAGTGGTCACACTAACACTGAATATTTCATTGATAACATTAAACGTCTCAACTCACAACTGTTCGGAAGGAAGGTCATTAACTTTTAGCATAGAGGTTTTGCTGAGTGATAGTCCTTCTATCACCCATATTAGTTTCGTAATTACGAGAGATTCTGTAAAATCATGGAAAAGGGTTATATTAAGGCAACAACTTACATTCAAAGAGAGGAAAGGAAAAATGGACTCTCTCTCTCTCTCTCTCTCATTTCAAATGTCCTTAATTCATATACTTTGCTGATTCATAGTTGCTTTGGATCTCAGGAGGATGGAGAAGAAGAGTCGTGCCATCGAGATCTTAGAAGCCGAGGGCTCTGCCTGGTACCCTTGTCATGCTTGTCTTACGTTACCGATGGCGGTGGAGGTGTTTGGCCACCTCCTAACTTCGGTGGAAGCACTTGAATGTGTTTTTCAAGTCAAACAGTAGATTGCACCTTGCCCTAAAGCAGTGTTGGATCCTGTAATTCCATAATGAAGAAGAATCCATCTCTAGAGTATCTTGCTTTTTAATATAATGGAGCAAATTTGGTCATCCTCAACAAGTAATTAGATTCCAGGTTGGACCAAGTTTGATCCATTAATGATCTGTTTAAGTTTTTTTCATTACCATCTTCCCCAATTGGTTGTGTACACTAAGTCTATTGATAATCCTTAATTCTACCTTGATTCCACCTTTACCCAGGCTCCCATTTTTGGTTCAACATACACACACACACACACACACATATAATCACAATATATCATATGGTGGTTTTTATTTCCAGGTATAAGGATGTCTTCAAGTATATTTAATTAAGCAATATTTTTTAGACTTAATTTATTAACTTAATTTGCTGATTTACTTCACTAAAATCATAAAATTGGTTGTGGGTTCCATCGAATATTTGAACAGGATGTTAGTTCAATGGTTATAATAAAATCATATCATTAGGTTAGTAAATTAGGTCTAAATATCTTTACTCTTTAGCAGATAAGTAATGTTATTTGGACCTAATTTGCTAATTTACTTCATTAAAAATATTAGATTGATTGCGGACCCCATCAAACACTTAAAATTAGTGTTAGTTTGACGATTACGATAAAATTATATCATTAACTTAGCAAATTAGGTTAAGAGATTGGTTTGTTTGGATATAGTAAACGAAGGAGCACGGTGCAGTGTATATTTGGTAAACGCAGCACGATCTGCATCACCCTTCACTCAAATCGGCCCAAACAAGTACCTTTTATGGGCCTGCATTGGATTGGGCCTGAAATAGAGGTTGGATATTCAGATCATACATTTTAGATTACATTATGCTAAGAGAAATTCATCTTGTAAAGATAATGAGTTATTTACCTATGAATATGATGCTTAATTTATTGGGCTTTCCCAAGTGAACAAGCAAATTAACATAAGAAAAAATTATAAGGAGTTACACGAGAATAAAGTTATTAGTCAAAAAATACATAACTCTTAATGTTAGGTCATTAAGTTCATATTTTTAGAACTTAATTGTGTCCACAATTTGACTTTTCATGATTTTTCTTTGACATATTTGCTCTCCCTTAAATCATGCAATTTTTTTTTTCAGCTAAGTTAATTTTTGATTTTGTTTTATTGTATTAAATATTTCCTAATATAATGAAAGAATTATATTATCACAAATTTTGCATCTAAAGTTGATTGTGTATATCTTAACCATTTTAAATTTTAAATTTTTTTGTCATTAAATGTATATCTTTTGTCATTAGTGTATATATATATACACACACACACACATACATACACATATAATATTACGAAATCACACTATGAAACTTATTTTTTATTACTCCTACACTGTTTTGATACACACACACACACACACACCAAAAATCTTTAATTTTAGTACTTTCTAAGATAAGATAATTAAAAATTTTTAATTTTAGTTGTCAAATTTCAAAAGTTTCCAAAAACTTAGAAACATATCCCTAAAAAAGTAGAGAGAGGATTTATTATGGATTTTAATTTTCCTAAATTTCAGTTTTTTGTTTTATTAGAACTCTCTCTCTCTCTATATATATATATATATAGGGGCATGTGAGACAAACACATTAGATAATGTGGAGATAATTAAATGTGGGGTTAATTTTTAAAATCGTTTTTAGAAAAATTATTTACTATAAAAGGATATTCAAGTCTTTCTATGTTTTAAGTACACTCATTTACAAAATATTTTTGCATATATATTTTTAATAATTAAGTCAAATTTTGTCTACCGATTTCTAAAGTAGAGCAGGTTTTAATAAGCTCATTTGATGGTTTCAAATAGATTCATCAAACGGCCACTAACATCCCTCTTAAATTTTTACATTACCTTCAGGGACGAGTTACCCCTAATAACAAAATATAACAGTAATCAGTTATAAATTCAGACGTACTGAATTCGAATCTTGGTAATTCTTTAGAGTCAGGCCATGAATATCCTAGTCTCAGCGTGAATGATATGTTTTTGACCAAACAAGGGAGAGGATCAGTTAAAATACACGCAAATTGGTCTGAATATCTCTAATCGTTGAATCCAAAAAAAACAAAAAACAGTTTGATTTGGGCCCCATAAAAGAGGATAGTTTCGATATTTAAACATAAGTACTTGTTTGTCAATGCTCCTGCCGACCTTTTAAAGTTCAATGAATAACAAGAACCGTTAAAGGCGCGGTTGAAGTTTCAAATGCAATTCATGTCAATTCGAAAGCTAAAAGAAGTTGTGGTCTAAGTCAAGGAACAACCTTTTTCAAAGATAACGAGTGATTCCTTGTGTTACTCTTTTTAGTGTTTATTCTTATTTGTTTTTTGGGCTTCTCTCCATCTCTTTTTGGGTGTTTTCTTCTCTGCCAATTGTTTATTTGTTGTAATAATTAACTTTTAATTACAATAGTGATGTACAATTACGCATAAATGACCAAAGTTTTGTGCAATCTTTTATCTTCTTCCTCGAATTAAAATTATATTCTTGTTTACAAGAAATTGTAAACATTAATTAAGCTATTGTCTGAACTATCCATTTATTGATTAAAAAAGACTTTTGTATATTTGATTAAAAAAAGGGGTGGGCAAAAAAAAACGTTCAGTGATCACCTTAATACGCCTTCACTTATAAGATTATGAAACTCCTAACCGCGTCTGTTACTCCTCTCGAAAACTAATCTACTTAAGCTAGCATAACATCAACCACCAAGAACTAACGTAGACTCCAAATATTTTGAAAAAGTTTATTCATAGACTTAAAACCAGCAATGTATCATTTGAATGCATAAGCATTTATTATCCCTTCACTTCTAATTTCTCCTTGTTATTTTTTTGCTTCGAGATATTTAGATTTGTGTCAATTACTCTCTTAAATTTTGATATTAACTATCATAACTCGAGTTAGTTTAAAAATCTGTCATATGCAAAATGACTGAGCCTTATGAGTGTAGAAATTATAGTTATGTTATATAAACAAAAAACACAATTGCAGTCAATTAGCTATTTTGACACAAATTCTCCTTCTTAACTCTCCCATGCCTGTCGATGAAATACTCATCTAACAATAAAAATACATTCTTTGAACACATTCATTGTACCAAAACTATTTAATTAACATATGTTGTGTCCTCATCAATACTTTGTTGCCAAGCAAGTTGCCATAGTTGAATATTTCTGTTTAAATTGAAATGAACCTTTTTTCCACTGTCTCCGACCCCATGCCAGCTATTTAACCTTTTTCTAAAAATATAGAATTCTCCATAAAGTTGTGCATTTTCTCCATATAGAATTCTAAAAATATAGAATTCTCCAGCTATTACAACTGATTTGAATTATTAATTATAGTGATTGATTATTAAATAAGTGCTTAATTAATATTTTAATTTCTAACTGTTGGTTATGGCCAAATTCCTTTCTTCGTTACCACTTTGGCTATTATCTTATTTGAAAAATCGACCACTTTTGACATAAACTTAGTATTAAATTTAAAAGTTAATAATCACTATTCATGTGGAACAATCAGTCAATCATCAACGTATAAAATAAGACAAAATAGCCAATTTTAAAAATCTCTCAAAACCTTGTTATCGAAAGATTCATACGAGACAGAACATAATTAATGAATTAGGAGGGCTATGAAATAATGTAATTGAAATTTATTTTTTCCGTATTCAAGAAAAGGTACAAGTAAGGGGTGACAATGAAGTCGTGTGTATTGAATTTGTTGATTACTAGTATCAATACTTTAAATCTATTTATTTCTATAATCAAATTAGACAAATTTGATATAAATTCAACATATTTATTAATTTTGTTGCATTCATTTTAACACATAATTATGAACATAAATTTTATACTTAAAACTACACCTTTTTTTTTTCAGTTGAATCAACCACTAATAAATTTTCTTAGCTAAAAATCCACGCTGGATACTTACATAGACACGTAGAATTTCTCAGCAAAACATCATTATATCTATATAATAAAATAACTAAATTATTTGTCTTGAGTTTTTCGAGGCTCAAATCATTTTAATCTGATAGTCCTAATTGGACTTTCATTTCTTTTACAACTCTAAAACTCTCATTTCTCATATAACCCTCTCTCTCTCTCATATTGTTATCTTCTTCTTTTTTTTTCCTCTGTGTTATTTTTGTTATTATTTATTCCTTTAAACAAATGAAACTAAATGTTATGTAATTATTTATTCTATTAAAATAATTAAATTTTTTTATATAATGACAGCATGTATTTTACCACTTGTTTCTTAATTTGTAAATAACACTTAACATAAATAAAAAAATAGCGCATTGACTATAAACACTAAATAATATTCAACAAGAAATGATCCTTAAATTGTAAATTTATATATAATTTTATCAAAAAATAACATTTAATTTTGTCTAATTTATATTCAACTTTGTCAAATTAATATCAAATTAATTTTTATTGTTATCAAATTAATATTGAAATTTATTTAATAAATTTTTTGGAGTACTAAATTATATCAATTTTTTGGATACTAAATCAAATTTTATTTGATTTTATTAAAATTTTAAATTTTTTTTGGTATTGAATTTGGAGAAAGACAATTGTAGAAATAATAAATTTTTTTGAAAAGAAATTATTAATTTCTGATAGCAACATTGACAGAAGGGGTCTCTATGCAATGTATATTAAACATCAGGGGTCTCCATGTTATTGATAAAATATCAGGAGGTGTCCGTGCAATATTACCAAAACTTAGGCTATGTCCGTAATTTTTACCCTATTTTTTAATTAAATATTAACTTATTATTATTTTATCTTACAAACTTGAATTATTGTATTTCTAATAAAAACATTTATTGGTTAGGAGAGTTTGTTAGTAACTAAAAAAAATGTGTGTAGGTGTGTTTCTGTGTATATTTAT